TTACAAATAAAAATTCAAATATAAACCAATCATGGTGTTTTGTCTATAGGATAATACGATGGTGAATATAAATTGTGCAGTAAGTCATAATAGTAATAATAATAATAATAGTAATAATAAAAATGGTCTTATCAATGATAAGGATGAAAAAGTGAGGCAATCTGTGATAACACGAATAATGAAAAACAGCATGATTAAACAAACAACTGTTCAGGTGGAAGTCGTCGATAAAGGCTAGTAAAAACAAATGAACCGATTAAGTAATGTTAGATTGTAAGGGAAGGAAATGAAACACGTTTATAATGAAGATAAGATAAAGGGATGATAAGAAAGGGGTTGAAAATATAAACAAAGGGTGGTGTAGAAGTCATTAGTTGGTTATGTCTTAATAGGCCAACAAGGGAGGGATAATGGCTGAACGAACTTTTTTTGAATACATAGTTTAGGTTTAATAGTCCGAATGCCTATCGCCTCAGCTGTGTGCAGTAAACGAATACGAAGTCTATTGGAAAGATTCGGTGGGATAGGATGAATTACTTTGAAGGCTCTCGTTTTCTCGATTACATGACCACTATCATTTAAGTGTGACAAAATTGAGCTACGAATTATTTTTGTCTGTCCTTTGCCAAACCACGATGGGAGATGTTCACTAACACGTTGGCTAAGCTGTCTAGTAGTACGCCCAACATAACTGTCACCGCAGGTGCAGTTGAATTGATAAATGCACATAGATGTGGCAAAACTATCAAGCTTATCCTTCGTTTGCGTCCCAATCATTCGTCGGCTAGATAATGACAAACATAGGTGTGCTGCATAAAATGTTCTTCGTATACTCCTTGAAAGTCTTTGGAATAGAATCTCACTTGATAGGTCACCATTAAATGGAATATCCTCATATTGAAATCAAAACAAGATTTTGAGCGAACAATTGTTTTCGATAACTTCTTCCTCAGGCTCTACAGTTATAAATCCATGAATAGTAGAGTACATATATAGCCAATAAAGGCAAATGAAAATAATATCAGAAACTCTATTGGGGTGCATGTGTAAGTTGAGATGATAGTCCAGTAGTTAACATAATCAATCAAATGTGTATAGGGTGTATAGTCAGAAAAAATGTGATGAAGTGTGAATGAACAATTGGGTGATATAGTGCTGTTTTTTAGTCAACAGAATACAAGTGTCATTGGGGTGAGAGAAATACGATAGACACAAAATACATACAAACACACATTAACAAAGGGGACACTGAATGTGAGGGCTGACCGATAATGTCTAATGATAAAATAAAGAGGCTAAATATTAAATTGTAATAAGATGTTACAGAGTTGGTAGGCTTAGTGTAAAATCACAAAGGTTGACAAAATTAAGGGTAGCAATGAGGTGAAATAAACTGGGTGGAGAAATGGATAATAAAGACATGATATCACAGAATGATAATAATGGTAATAATAATACGGAAAATTATGATCCTGGTGACCTTATAGTGGGTCAGGGTAGACAGAGGGAGTGAATAAGTTTTTTCTGCACACATAGGTCTGGTCTTTCTCTGTTAATCTCTAAAGCCTCAGCTATGGCTAGGAGGCGTAATCGCGTGCCTTTGGGGAGATTGTTTGGTACTCGATACACAACTGTAAATGACTCTTCTAATTTGATGCTGTGTTCGCTATCCACTAGATGAGCCAGAATTGCACTATTTAATGATTTGGTCGCTCTTTTCCCAAGCCAGACCGGGATATGTTCACGAGTGCGTAAAGATAAATTCCTTTGGGTACGACCTATATAACTAGCTCCACAGGAGCAGTTGAATTTATATACACACATTGATGTCGTCATTTTGGGTAACCTATCTTTAATGCACAGTGTCAATATCGGTTTGGTTGAGAAAGTGACATGCAGTTTTGCGGCACTGAAAGTTCTTTCAACTGCTCTCGTTAATCTACGGTTTAACATATCGCTGGATATGTCGCCTTTGAATTGTAAATTTAAGTCACCATTAAATTGTAACTTAATAAATAGAGGTTTCTTACGTACAGTCAGAGTCTCCGGTTTTTCTCCGATATTTTGTTATGTTTCTTTATGAAACTACTCGATGATTTACCTCAGGAATTACAATTGATGTTCATTGAATATGTCAATAATGTAACAGTAAACAGAAATTATAATAAAAGGATAAGTCTTGTCAAATCTCTCGAAAGCCAAAAGCTTGAAAGGCAATTTCCGTCAGTTCCGGGCCGGTATGTTCATAATTTTTCCAGTGTCATGCTTAGTAAGTTTCAATTGGAGGTGTTATCCCTAGGTCACAAATTTATTGATTATGCTCCTAAAGTTGACCAATTAAACACGGATATACTGTTTGAAAATTTGTATTCTCAAACATCAGATCTTACCCCATCATCGGACGATGAGCTAACTAGGTTCAAAACGACGCTAGTTGACAGCTGCCAACAATACAAGAATAATAGACATTCAGTAAATAGTCTGTTATCTAAACAACACAGAGAAGCTCTAAGAGAACTTAGAAGCAACGAAAGCTTAATTATTAGCAAGTCGGATAAAGGTGACTGTATAGTTTTACTGGACAAAAGTGATTATGTTGAGAAAATGGAAGGTATTTTGAATGATCAAACTAAATTCCAATCTCTTGGTGTTTCCAAAGACCTCAATGTAAGAGCGGAGAAACTAATGACCGACTCCCTCAAAAAACTGAACCAAATAGGAGTATTATCATCAACCACGTATGAGTCCATGAAACCAACGGGTACTTATACTCCACGTCTTTACGGTCAACCAAAAGTGCACAAACCGGGTCTTCCTCTTCGCCCTGTTTTAGATATGTATAACTCTCCATTTCACGGAACAGCGAAGTGGTTAGTGAAGATTTTGGGTCCTTTGCACAGAGAAATCGTGCAACATAGAATTAGTGATGTCTTCGACTTTATTTCTAAAATATCCGAGACTAATGTGAGGTATAAACGCATGTTATCCATGGATGTATCATCACTATTCACTAATGTACCGCTTATGGAAACAGTAGACTATATTTGTCAAGAAATCGCCGAAAGGCAATTAGACTTAGGAATCCCCTTGTGTAGCCTCAAAGAATTACTTCTTAAATGCACAATGAATGTTCACTTCGTCTTTAACAATTCTTACTATTGACAAGTAGATGGAATAGCTATGGGTTCACCATTAGGCCCAATGTTAGCTGACTTCTTTCTCGCAAAACTTGAAAACGGGAAATTGAAGGACATCATCAAGCAGCTTGATATGTATTATCGATATGTCGATGATACATTTATCTTAGCTGATGAGAATGTTAATATAGACGAATTGTTGCTGAAATTCAACAACATCCACCCTTCGCTTACCTTTACTTGTGAAGAGGAGCAGGACAATAAACTACATTTCCTGGATGTCTTGCTAAGTAAGAGAGAAGATGGGTCACTTGGGAGAAGCGTGTATAGAAAAAGCACTTTCACAGGGCAATACACACACTTCCTTAGTTACGTGCCCATTAAATATAAAAGGAATGTTTTAAAATGTCTTGCAAGCAGAGCAAGAAAGATATGTACGGGTGACCTCTTACAAAAGGAATTTGAATATATTCACGATTCCTTGATGGAGATGGGCTATCCGAGTAGTTTCATAAAGAAACATATGAAAACATCGGAGAAAACGGAGACTCTGACTGCACGTAAGAAACCTCTATTTATTAAGTTACAATTTAATGGTGACTTATCAAGTGAGATTCTATTCCAAAGACTTTCAAGGAGTATACGAAGAACATTTTATGCAGCACACCTATGTTTGTCATTCTCTAGCCGACGAATGATTGGGACGCAAACGAAGGATAAGCTTGATAGTTTTGCCACATCTATGTGCATTTATCAATTCAACTGCACCTGCGGTGACAGTTATGTTGGGCGTACTACTAGACAGCTTAGCCAACGTGTTAGTGAACATCTCCCATCGTGGTTTGGCAAAGGACAGACAAAAATAATTCGTAGCTCAATTTTGTCACACTTAATTGATAGTGGTCATGTAATCGAGAAAACGAGAGCCTTCAAAGTAATTCATCCTATCCCACCGAATCTTTCCAATAGACTTCGTATTAGTCTACTGCACACAGCTGAGGCGATAGGCATTCGAACTATTAAACCTAAACTATGTATTCAAAAAAAGTTCGTTCAGCCATTATCCCTCCCTTGTTGACCTATTAAGACATAACCAACTAATGACTTCTACACCACCCTTTGTTTATATTTTCAACCCCTTTCTTATCATCCCTTAATCTTATCTTCATTATAAACGTGTTTCATTTCCTTCCCTTACAATCTAACATTACTTAATCGGTTCATTTGTTTTTACTAGCCTTTATCGACTACTTCCACCTGAACAGTTGTTTGTTTAATCATGCTGTTTTTCATTATTCGTGTTATCACAGATTGCCTCACTTTTTCATCCTTATCATTGATAAGACCATTTTTATTATTACTATTATTATTATTACTATGACTAATTGCACAATTTATATTCACCATCGTATTATCCTATAGACAAAACACCATGATTGGTTTATATTTGAATTTTTATTTGTAAACTTATATATTTAATATCTATACTGGTGATCAGATTGTCGAATGTGCAATTAAATTTAAACTTATATATATTAGAGTTAAGCCTGATGAGATCTAATTGAAAACAAAATTGTTCGCTTAAATGTGTTGTTCTAAATATACAGATATAGTTTGTCTAGCATTTCGACTGTTGTTTGAGACAGTACCAAGACTCTCTTATCGATGTCCAGCGTTTTCTTTTGTCTTAACGTGCCAGCGGTGTTATTGCTGTGGACGTGCAATTAGGACAGATTAGCCACTGACCGCATTAAGTTAAGTATTCGCTCATAGTCTACTGGGACGTAGTTCCGGTCATAACAAATTCAAGGAATCACATCCGATGGACAACTTGATCGTTTTAAAACAAAAATTCATTAGCTTCGCCTTTTCTTAAAAATTGTATTTTAAAAACAAAGCTGAGAAAAATGCAGAACAGTAAGTCGAGTTTATAAAAAAAAAAGGAAGAAACCCAGTAGATTTTCAAGCTTCTTTTTCTATTTGATGATAAATATTGAAGTAACACGGGGACACTGGTTGTGTACTGATTGCATCAAAATATAAATGCATTATTCCACTGCCACTTTAACATTATCAGCAATCGGTGACAACGGCTCAATAACTGGTTCCGGCCATTCAATATTACTGAAATCAACTAATTTCGATGCTGTTTTCAATAATTTCTCTATAGTAACAAAAACAAAACAAAAAGAGGAATGTATAATGACGTATAGATTAGAAGCTTAATTCAAAATACAAATTTTCTTTTTAACCGCTGGGATACCACTTGGATGCCCAAATTAAAAACGGGTGGTTGTCGTTTTTTGGGGGGCCAACACAGTAGCATCTGAAACTGCGTGTGCTACAGGTGACACCCGATCTGTTCAGATTCTGGTACCCATGCACATCATAGGCTGACAAATCAGAGTTTTCCGGCTGTCCTCAATAGACCAATCCCCAGTTGTAAGCGCCAGACGTTTGTATTCGCCCATTCACTTTTACGAGGAATACCTCACGATTGATGTGATAAGCATAACACCTAATTAAGTTCATAAGATTGGTTAATGAACAAAGAATACGGCATTTTGATGACCTCTTCTTCATCAAGTTCTACATTTAAATACATCCACTATAATTGTGGTAAGAGCTGTCTGCTAACCAAAATTGGTAGACAGCAATTGACGTCAATGTTTACGTCCCATATATCTTGGTCATGAGAAAAAACCAAGAACAAAGACTAACTCAACAACCAATCACAGCAGACTTAGCGTGGGCGAGCACGATTCGCAGATATATGGCCTGACCTTCAAAGAAACGGCTACAAAAAGATGGCAGTGAGAAAACGGCCAATCAGAAGACGCTGTTTCTGTGCTAATAATAACGAATAATAATGTACATAAAAATATATATAAATATCTGTTGATTTTCTCAATAAACGATCTGTTTCCTGGTACTTGTCTTCTGTCGTTACATAATTACAGGATTATAATTACTAACAACATTGGTGATTTATTTAAACAATATTGAATTAATAAAATCAATAAATTACAGTTCAAAAGTAGCTTCAAATGATAATATGCATGAATGCATCACTAAACGGAATATCAGATATACTAAGAAAAACACTACATAATTTATGAATTTACTGGCTCTAGATTGGCCTAGTGGTCTAGGGGTATGATACTCGCTTGTGCGTCGGTGGCATAGCGGTTAGGACGCCGACCATGCACATGGTCCTGGGTTCCATCCCCGACCGACGCACTCCTTTTCCTCACTAAGCCAGAAATAATGCTGGTGAAGAGGAAAGGTTGGGCATGAAGTTAGCAACCCCAACATGTATAATAAACACTGCTACAGAAACTTCAGGCCACTAGCTTGAAGCCTATGTTTCACTCGGAAACGTGAAGGGAAAAAAAATTGGCTCCACAACAGACCAGGATAGCAAGAGTGACTGACGACTGGTCCTGTTTCTTTTGCATGGATGGAGTTCCAGAGGTTTTAAGCGAATTACATTGGTCTCTACTTTTTGAAGATTTAGGCAATTTGCTTGATACCCGACAGATGATAGAAAAAGACTTCAACATCGAGGTTCATAGCCTGTTTACTTAGACCAGGCCTAAACATAAGACTGTAGAACTTGATGAAGAAGAGGTCATCGAAAAGTCATATTCTTTCTTCACTAATCTTCACAATCTTGTGAAATTAATTAGGCGTTAGGCTTATCACATCAATCGTGAGGTGAATACAAACATCTGGCGCTTATAGTCTGGGGACTGGTCTATCGAAGATAGCCGAAAAACCCTGATCTTTCAACCTATGATGTGCATGGGCTCTAGAACCTGAACAGATCGAGCATCATATGATGAACCTGTTCTGCTGGTCACCACCTTCAACAACCATGGGGAAACACGCAGTTTCTGATGCTGCTATCCTACTGTTTTGTAGATCACACTTCATATCAATACCTCAGTGGGTGTTAGACCCTTAAACGACAGCCACTTGGTTTGATCTAGGCGCCCAGGTAATATCCCAGCTGTCGTACAAATCACTGACTTGGAGATAGAAAACAACACTCAGAATAAATTTCTCTAGTCGACTGGCAACGTTCTCCATTTTTTCAAGATAGAAATCAATCAAAAGAACACTGAATTTCTGATATAACCTAATTTGAGGGCTTTCACGACAAGGAAAACACATTCACATTCGCAACAGTATACCCCACACCAAAAAATGTCATCAGTTTTCGATGGGTTCGACTATTTCAAATTTCGCTGATATGTACTACAGTATCGATTATTTCCAATGAATACAACTAGTTACTCATTTATTTTCTTTAGTTAATTTTCATCATTATTGTATTATACTGCATTATCTTCAAGGTGTAAATATTATCAGACCGAAAATAATCTCAAATTGACTTCAAATGTACTAAGCTTATATTACACCCTTACAATTATTGGCCTAATTTATGGATTTATCTCCCTTTGTTCAGGCATATCTGACTGACTGTTTTCAACATAGAACTTTTCACAGGTGTGCAGCAGTTCTAGTCGCACACAAAGCAAGAGAAGAGAGTACAGAGAGATTCAAGAGAGAGAGAGAAGGGTAATAAACAGAAATGTCGGTCGGTCGGTTTTCGACATAGAACTTCGCACATATGTGCAGCAGTTCAAGTCGCCACAATCCATGTAGCACGCAAAGCAAGAGAAGAAAGTAGAAGAAATGAATATTAGAGACAGTAAACAGAGGTGTGAGACGAAGGGATTGTAATAACGGAGAACAAAACAGTTTCATTGGAAATCATTAGTCACAAGGAGTGGATGCATCTGCACCAGTCACTGAGAACGATTTTGAGCCATGTCACCAATTGTCTCCAGTCATTGGTTTTTACCGTCCCAAGGACCCCAACCAGGAAGTCTACATCTTCCTACGTGGCTTAGACTAACTGTTGTAGATTTCATTGACTGGTGCCATGTTTTCGTTTGACCGCCGCTCGCTCTTTTCCAGCCTGGCCCTATATCAGCTAACATTGCCCATTGTTGAGGAAGGCGATGACTAGACATACGTAGCACATGTCCTAACCATCTCAGTCGAAGTAATTTCACCGTTTCGTCGAAACAGAAATGTCAGGCAAAAAGAATAGGAATAAGAAAGAACAATTAGAATTTTATTGGATATGACAACAAATCACAAAGAGTGAATGCATCTGTGCCATTGAAAACGATGATTTAGAGCCGTATCACCCACCAATTGTCTCCAGTCATCATTGGTTCTAACCATCCCAAGGACCCCAACAAGGAAGTACTTACTTTACTTTACTTCGGCTATCTCCTACGGGAGGATGAGCCGGCTTCATGAACATCTCGAATCCGTTTGTAAGAGAGTTCATGAAGTTTCATGGGAATTTGGTACGAGTGATGTCCCCAGAATCGCTCGGCCTTTTGTTTGATAGTGCAGCTCTAGCCTTTACACAACCAAGTGTGACCTACAAGGCAGTAGGAGTGGCGGCCGGTGACCGGAGTTCGGTTCATACACCTTTTTGAATGGGGCCAGACATCCAGGACATCCAACAAGCCCTTTGTCCATACGTCTGCCGGTGAGCTCCAGTGAGCTTCATACGCCAGTCGTTGGAGGTTTGGAATCAGGGTTCAGCCATCTCCCCTAGACTGTCATCCAATGGACAGTCAACCCAGTGAAGAGCACCGGGCATCCGCTTTCGCCCTCTCACTTTGGTGAAAAACACCTCCGCCACGTGAAGGCAGTCAGTAGGACTTCCTCAGGAGAGGCTATGTAAGACGCCCGATCATATGGGAGCATTTCAAGAGGTGTGCGGAGGGGTGGCCAACCCGCAGCGCAAGGCACCCACTCCCGACCATCCCGAGGAAGTCTACACCTTCCTATGTGACTGGCTTAAACTAACTGTTGTGATTTCATTGACTGATGAAACCATGTTTTCGTTTGACCACCACCACTAGCTTTCTCTTTTCCAACCTGATCCACCCTATGTCAGTCAGGTAACATTGCCTGTTGTCAAGGAAGGCGATGGCTAGAGCATGCGTAGCATATGTCCTACCCATCGCAATCGGTGTAACTTCACAACCTCATCGATTGATTTCTCCTCCTCAGGGATATCACCTCACAACCACCCACCCACCGTAACTACTACTTCAATTTTTGGACAAAACATGGCACCAGTCAATGAAATCTACAACAGTTAGTCTAAGCCACGTAGGAAGATGTAGACTTCCTGGTTGGGGTCCTTGGGACGGTAAAAACCAATGGTTGGAAACAATTGGTGACATGGCTCAAAATCGTTCTCAATGGCTGGTGCAGATGCATCCACTCCTTGTGACTAATGATTTCCAATGAAACTGTTTTGTTCTTCGTTTTTACTATTCCTTTGTCTCACACCTCTGTTTACTGTCTCTAATATGCATTTCTTCTACTTTCTTCTCTTGCTTTATGTGCTACATGGAGTGTGGCGACTTGAACTGCTGCACATCGGTGCAAAGTTCTATGTCGAAAACCGACCGACCACCAACTATGAGGAACAGGTGGTCCGTGAATTTTAATGAATCTATCTGCTTAAAGAAATACGACAAGACTAGATAACGGTGATACCAAAGATAGAGACACTTATCTTTGTTGTAGTTAGATAATATATTAATATCACTGAATAAATAATAATCATAATAATAATAATTTGTACCCTTTACTATTTCCCATTACAATCAAATCGGTACACTGTGAATGTAGGATTAGGGCTTATTGGCACTCTTCAAAAGCAGGGCACATATTTGCAACCTCGAGGAAAAATGATACCCCTCTTGGAAATTTGAACCCGCATTGTCAAGCGTTATACAGTCATACACATACACACGTTACACTTCAGTCATTCAACCTCACGACTGTCCTCCTATAGAACTCGAGTGGATAAACTGATCGATTGTCAATAGGATGTAACAAAAGGTAATAATCTGTGTGATTAGAACACTGGGTTCAAATCTACCACAGAGAGAGAGGATATCAGCTTCACTAGAGATTGTTGATACGCTATACTGGTGATACTCAATATAAAGGAAAACAAGGTCCGTAACTTCTTGCCGATTACTTTGAAATATTTAACATCAATTCAGTGTGTGGCTTTATAATCACATTGTACGCCAACTTGTCTTGAACTCAGTTAGTACTACTATTAAAGACTAAACACACACACACACACGAGACTGGTTACTCTCCACCTTCCAGTGACTAATCCTATATGATGTCTTGAACCAAAGTACAATCTTTGCTTGTACACTTGAATAGAGCACGTTTTCTGCAAGTAATCTAAAATATTTTGACATACAATTTACTAATATGCTTTCCTTGATTCTTCGGGTACCTGAAACAGAGAGAGAGGGTTAGTGTTGCGTGACCGCAGAGCCCAGGGGACAACTGCTTGAGGCCGGTCACACACGGCCTGTATGAACTGGTTTCTTGGTTTGGTTCCGTATTAGTAAACTTACCGCCGGTTACGGACCACCGTAGGGTAAGTCGGGATGTACAAATTTTGGGGTCGACCTTTTCTAACCCCCTCTCTCCAGAGTGGAGAGACAGCATAGCTGAATGCTGGTCATCTGAGGGAAACATCTCACTGCTGTTACATCCCTGTTCCCCAGCAGTACGACTTCGCCCACAGACCCCCAGCATAGTGTTAGAAAAATTCTTACACTAAGCCGGTAACTGCTTTTAGTCTAATCGCTATCCTAAAAGCCTTCCTGGCATGGTAGGACCTGCAGGAACATTGGTTCCAGCCAGTGTAACTTGTTGGGCCATTGCGATGTGCAAGCCCGACCACCACGTCAAGGTAGCAGCTATCGGTCGTTATTACTATTCCTTTGTCTCACACCTCTGTTTACTGTCTATATTATGCATTTCTTCTACTTTCTTCTCTTGCTTTGTGTGCTACATGGAGTGTGGCGACTTGAACTGCTGCACATCGGTACAAAGTTCTATGTCGAAAATAGACAGACAGAATATGCTTTCCTTCCATACTGAAGATAAGATGACCAGCTTGGAAAGGATAAGCAACAATGACCCCCCTCTGACAGACAACTGACCACCAATCAAGAACCTATCCATCACCTAACAAGTATGTAGGAGGAAATGAAGATGCATTGGACACATGCTGAAAGACCACCATTGATGAAGAACATTACACGCCAGTCAGTCGAGTGAAACCCGTAAAGGAAATGAACGATTTCGGCATCTGAAGGTGAAATAGTGGTGATTGTGTGTGTGTGTGTGAGGAGGAAATGAAACCTCATGGGTGGTAATTGTGAAGCCAGTCAGATTAAGACAAAAAATTCAGAAAAATGAGTGAAACCCTCTATGCTCCACTCAGAGTGCAAGGGAATAAAAATAACTAGTATGAAACCTAGGTCCAAGGCATCCTGGTGATTGCCTCCAACCATCGAATAACATTAACATGGTAATAATTCAAAATTTTAATTAATTACTAATAGATATATAACTATTACAAGAAGCACATAGTAAGAGAGAGAGAGGGAGAGAATGAACCATAGAACAGTGGTGAATGATTGTTGTATAAACTCACACAGTTACACACTCATATTGTAAGACATTAACTACTTAGAACCTAGTCAGCAGTACGAATAGTAAGATACCCCCTTTAGCGTGGAGAATGGAAACTGAAGCCTCGAAATAACAGTGAACCAAACAAACAAGCCAACATCATTTTGCTTTTAAAAGTCTCATTTTTAAGGACATTACATTAAAAAGCCAGTGTCGGTGTATGTGGGGGTGGGGGGGGTAGAGTAAAGCTAAATTCTATCACCACTTACTTACCTCTAGATTCATCCGTTAAATCATTTTGAGTGAAAAGTAATAGATAGCCACCATGCATTAAAATTCTTAACAGCATCTGTGCAGTACAACATAATTCATCCTATTTTTTTCAATGGAGAAAATAAAAACAACGACAATAATATTAATAATAGCAATAATAGAGGGCATGATGAATTATTATATTACCATTCCCTTGGATTCTAAGTGGAAACATAGGGCTTCATCAACACATCTCCACTTTGTTCGATTTGGTGCTGTCCACTTCACACGGGTCCACGATTGACCATAATCTCTCATCTGGTCCTCCAACTCGCATGATCTCCCCCTGTCACCCTCGTACCGACAACCCATTCGTCGCTTCCCATTCGGATTCCACTCGAGCAATGACCTGGAGCGCGATGTCGTTTGACAGTCGCCTCAACATATGCCTGATCCATCTCCATTTTCTCCTACATATTTGTTAAACGACCGGCTCCTGGTTGGTTGTTCCCAGCCAGAGTTTATTGTTGCTGATTCTTTCTCGCCGGCCATCTGATCTTCAGTATGGAGCTAGCCAGTGAAGGAGACAGCTGTTGATAAAAGTCTGCAGCAGGCTGTTGAAAATGCTTTTCATGACGGATACGCCAAGTTTCTGACCTGTATAGAAGAACTGACTGACTGACTTCACATTAATGTTGAAAATCCGAATCTTATTCTTGATGCTGGCTGAGTTAGTGCAGAAGATTTCCAAACTGGTTTCACGTTGATGAAGACGTATCTTGCCTTTCCGATTCTGACTGGCTGGCTTTGACATTTTCATCCATCCCGCCTGTAGTTGAAACGATGCTTCCCAGATAAGTGAAGGAGGCGACCTCTGTTAAATCTCTCCCGTTGATGGTGATTGGTCCTGGTGGTTGTTGCTGTTGATTGGTTATCTTCATCACCACCGTCTTCTCCATGTTCACTTGCAGTCCTGTCTTCGCTGTTTCTCCAGCCAGTTTGACATTAGACATAGATCATCTGCGAAATCCAGATCTTCTACAGTCTTCTTATCAGTGGTCCAGCGTATTCCTGACTCCTCGCTCCCGACGCACAGTCTGACACATAATCCAGTCCACCACAATTAAGAATATCATCGTTGGTGATAATAGGTAGCCCTGTCTTACTCCTGTATGCACTTCGAACACCTCGCTGAGTTTCTCGTTGTGGATCACCTGACACTTGGCATTGTCATGTAGCTAGCTGTTGGATGATGTTGATAAAGACTTGGGCACTGCACGTCATAGCGTTGAAGTAGTTTCCAAATTACCTCTCGGTTAACGCATAATGAACGCTTACATTATATACTCATTAGTATTGTTTAAAACCAATTTAAATAATCCCATTATAATAATTCACATAATTTGATTCCATTGTATTCCCAGTGGAACAAGGGTTTCAAGCAAGAGCTTTAAAATTTCAATAGCACAGGGTTGCGCTAGCCTCACATCTTCAACCCTCACCCTCTTTACCTGCCTTACTACCAGCCTAGAGAAGTTCAGGAGTACGTTGGCCGAGGATCGAACCCCAGAACCACTTGCTTGGTTGGCGAGTAAGTGTTCTACCACTGAACCAACGACCGACGCACTGTCCCCTATTTATTTGGTGACCCTGAAACTGATCGTTAGAAGGGGATATGTAGGTTACGTAGTCAACCCATATTGCGTCCTTACACGAGGAAAAACAGTCATTTTGAGTTATGGTGAAGATATATTGTGGGGAAAAAAACTTCATTAAACAAAAAGTAACTGAATAGTTACTCATAAGCATGCAAATGAAAATATTATTGTATTTAGTGTTACTCTATACTTTTGGAGAGAGAGAGAGAAAAAGGCGCGCACACGCACACACACAACACACTTACCTGTTGAGCAAGTGACATCAACGAGTGCAGACGTACATTTCCCGGTTCACATGGATCAAGTAAACCTGTACTCCCAGGAAGAAGAAAACCACTAGCCAATAGATAGAAAACACGTCTACAGAGAGAGAAAAGAAAGCACGAGAAAAACAACACACAGATGAGAGGTATATTTTTATTATAGCATGACTCTACACAGTACTTTTGATACACGTATGGAATTTTCAGCATGTGTGATATCAGTAGCCCAAATTTAGCAGACCGACCATTGATATCAGGTGTGTGTGTCGGCTGGGGATCGAACCCCGGACCATGTGATGCATGGTCGGCGAGCGTCCTAACTGCTGTGCCACCGAAAAACCTAAAAAAAATTAACTAGCTGAACTAAGAGTTGTTCAGGCCTAATGAAACAGAGATAAATGTCTATTTAGTGATTTTAAAATTAATACAATTTTGAAGGAATTAGGTATATACATATAACACAATGAAGTAGGTGTGAATTCTCGAGGGAATAAAAAACAACAACTTTGAAACCACTTTGCATCGTCTGTCTGTCTGTCTGGATTCAACATAGAACTTGGCACCGAAGTGCAGCAGTTCGAGTTGCCACGTTCCAAATAGCACACAAAGGTAGACAGGAAAATGAGTGAAGAGAATCAATAGAGTTTTGACAAGTATAAGAGTGAAACAGAATGAGTAATGGTAGAAAGGAATATGAAAGATTAAAGAGACTGAATACATCTGCGTAAGCCATTGACAACGATTTTGAGCCATGTCACCTATTGTTTCCAGCCATTGATTCTTAGAGTCCCGAGGGCCCCAACCCGGAAGTCTGCATCTCCCTCCCTACCTGACTCAGTTTAACTGTCAAGGATTTCATGGATTGATGCCATGTTTTTGTTTGGCCACCACTTACTCTTTTCCAACCTGCACCTATATCAGCTAGTAATGCCCGTCGGGGGAGGCGATGGTTAGGCATGCGCAGCACGTGACCTAGCCATCTCAATCTATGTAACTTTGCATCGTAGGTCTATTACATTCTGACTAACTGACTGGTTTCAGCACAGTACTTTGCACAGGTGTGCAGCAATTCCACTGGCCACATTCCCTCCATGTAGCAAACAAAGCAAGAGAAGAGAGTAAAGAGACATTCAAAATAGAGAAAGATAGAGAGAGAGGTAATAAACAAAAATGTCAGACAAAAAGAATAGTAATATGAAAGAACAATAGAATTTTATTGGATATGACAACAAATCACAAAGAGTGAATGCATCTGCGCCAGCCGTTGAAAACGATTTAATTTCCAAGATTAACTATTATCACTATTTTGTTATGAATACTATTTAACTGCTCCTGTGGCGCCAGTTACATAGGCCGTACAATTAGGCATGTTTCTCGTTGAATTTCCGAAAATCACCCTGCACGGTGGTTAAGTAAAGGACAAACAAAATCTATTCACATAGCGCTATTCTATCTCATCTTGTGGATACAGAACACAAGATTGATGTTAACCAGACTTTCAGAGTCATTTACCACATACCAACAAATCTTAACTTCGCCTTTAAGAGTTCGACTACTAAATATTGATGAGGCTGTTGGGATCCACATCAAGAAGCCTAATTTATGCGTCCAAAAGAAGCTAGTTCAGACATTATCCTTACCTTGGCCATCTAGGTTTGAATAATCCTCGAGTTTTGTGGAAATTTCCCTAATTTTAGTTGATATTCTACTTGCTACTATATTTTTATTCTTATTGTAATTTAAGCATCTTTAATGAACTGCAATTCCATTGATCTCACTTTACAAATCGATATTGCTTAAAAAACAGTAATATTGTTATTGACTACTAATCTAGAATATTCTATATATGTAAACATATATATATTTGTAGAGCCAGAAGAGGAAATTATCGAAAAGGATATTCTTTGCTCAATTATTTTTTGTTTTATAGAATACTATTTTTTGAAATTCTCGTATGACATTAAGTATCACCATTTATTTGCTGAACTGACCTTCCCATTTACTCTTTTACTACATAATTCTTTGATGTTTGTCTTCATACTCTTTCAATAACATCCAATTACTCTGAACATTTTCATATTACGTAACCCTGGTTATTGATCACATTTTTGAAATATTTTGATGAACTAAGCAATAACCCAAACTAATTTTTATTCTTGTTTGACAAACTTAATGTACACATATACAAAAATATTTATGCATAACTAAGATTGTACAGCTAAGTGAGTGAATTCGTCAAAAAGAGACTCTTCGTTGAAGCTTTTTCGCGATTTCAATCAGTAAAATCTATGCCTGCAGATGAAAACTACAATTCGATGTGCAAACAAAGAAATTTCCGACATAATAATACTAATTATTTATTTCTATTTCATTTTTTTCTTCTTAATTCTTTGCATTCCTGGTGAAGTAAAGGGCTTCAGAAGCTTGAGATTTGAAGTTCCAATAGTAGTGGAGTTTATTTTCCACGAGGTGGGGGGGGGCTGTTAGCATCACACACACAATTTTTCCCCTATAACGGGTTTCACTACCGGTCAAGTTAGATTGAAGAGTGCATTGGCCGGGAATCAAAACCTTGAACCGCCTGAATAGTCAGGGGGTTAGGGGGACTTTCCTACACAGCAGTACTTTTTCTTAAAGAATAAGTCAAAATCAGAAATTATCTAAAGATTGCCTTTTTCTTTCATATTTAAAAATTGTACTAATTAAGTATTCACTTCTACTCTCTTCATCATTCGGACTAATAAACAGAGTACAATTATTACCTTGTGTCGTAATCATAATATACAGGAATTTTAAACTTTAGATATTTAATAATAGAGAAGATTTGTAGCTCAAGTGGATGATTTGTAATTAGTAGTGTTCTCTGAGCTGGTTGGTTTAGTTGCGGAGCTTTCGTCGTCCTTCTGGACAACATCCCCCTTCAGCGCAATTTTTAGCATAAAGTGTGTGAGAGCTGTCTACTAGTCAAATTGGTAGACAGTAATTTACGTCAATGTTTACGTTCTCAAGATTTGTCGTGAGAAAATATGAACAAAAACTGATTCAAAACCGACCACAGCAGACTTTGAGTAGGCGGATACAGTTAACATATAGATGATCTGACATTCAAGAACAGTAAAAGTGAACTGATTTAAATTTCTCGATGAGTGATAGAATTGCGTCTCCCGGTAACCATCTTTACATAAGTATTGATCATCTTTTTATTGACTTGGATTTTAAACTTTCTCGTCACATGATTTACTTTTTATTAGTTGGTATATTTCGTCTATATTAACATGTTTGTTCGTTTGAGTACCAGGCTTCTAGGAATTCCCTGACTGCACTTTTGGTGTTTCCTCTGTCTAAAATTTCGACATAATCCCAAACAAACTGATGTCCATAAATATCTACATGCATTGATATGTAAAAATATATATCATGTCTTTCCACAGCTGATTTGTGTTCCTGGATTCTGATTCGAAGGGACGCCCACTTTGGCTGATGTAATGTCTGTTACAGTTCATACAATTTATTTTGTAAATGGTATTAATTTTATCTCCTTTTTCTGTTGGATCTTTCGGTTTGCATAATATCGAATTAAGTGATTTGACTGGCTTATGTGCTACATCTATATCAAACGGTTTCAGTATTCTAGCTGTTATTTCAGAGATATTTCTCATGTATGGTAGGATGAATTTTCTTGTGGTCTTTGATGATGGTTTCTTGTTGGTGTTGTGATTCGATTTTAAACACTTTTTGATGAAATTTTGTGGATAACCATTCTTTTTGAAGACCGTTTGTAGGTATTTTTCTTCCATTCTTTTCAACGCTGGAGTGCTACAGTGTGTTTGAATTCTTTTAAACAATGTCTGCACACAGTTTCTTTTGTGAGTAATTGGGTTATTGCTAGTATAGTTGAGTATTTGATCTGTGTGCGTTGATTTTCTATATACTTGTGTTTCTAAATTTCCTGTCTTAATCAGGAGAACTGTGTTAGTTTTCCTCATGGAAAATTTAAATCAGTTCACTTTATGCTAAAAATTGCCCTGAAGATGTTGTCCAGAAGGACGACGAAAGCTCCGCAACTAAACCAACCAGCTCAGAGAACTTAAGATATCTATCTAGAGTTTATTGATTTTTTATTCACGATGAAAACAATTCTTACAGTTATTGAAATAATTTTTGAAACCATGTAGATTGTATTTGATATTAAAGGTAGCACACATATCACATACTTAGGAACAGATTATATTAGCACATACATATATAAGGATCTAACTAATAGATGCAATTTAGATGTCTAGACAATGAGTAAGTTGTGTTATGGGATTACATTGCCTCTCATACACAAACAAGCCGGGAAATTCGAGTAATATTATTCAATCTGGTACGTTTAATCCTTCACCCCTTGGTGTATGCATCACCTTACCATGGTAAATTGGATGAGCGAGGGTGAACTTAGTTATATTCATGAAAGACACACCTTAACCTTTTCATGTTACACATAAAACAATTGGGCAGACGATTGTTGAAGCATAATGTTAAGAGAGAGAAAAGCTTTAGGGAATCTAAAAACGTCGTTAGTTTATTGGTGGAACACTGGCCAACCAACCAAGCAAGTGGTTCAGGATTCAATCCCTACCCAGGCGCATGAGCTTACCTCGTTCAACCGGGCATTAGGACGATAATGAGGGAAGATTAGGCGTGAGACTGGCAACCCTATACCATAAAAAAACAATCACTACTACTCAAAACTTCAAAGCACTAGCTTGAAGCTCTATGTTCCACTGGCAGTGCAAAGGAATAAAATAATAAAAATAATGATAAATATTGTACTGGTGTGAAAGATATCTTGGAGGCTATCCCATGCCGGGATAAAAAGAAAGGTATAGATAACAGTCCAAGACAGCTTTATGTGCTTTGTACTAGGTTGTAGCAGCAGTACCTTCCTACTCAATGCATGTAACAGGAATGCAGCAGGGCAGTAAAAAGAAACAATATTACTTGAAGAAAGTTATTTTAAAATATGCAGGGGTTTTAATTATCTACTTAAAAACTTACCTAAAGGCATGATTAAGCGGCAATGGTTGACGTTGTGGATTATTCATAACAGCATAGTAAGCCTGTAAAACGCAAATTAACAAATTACAACAATAGTAGAAAAAGAGAAGATTTGTAGAACTCAGGCGGATGATTCTGATGTGATTCCATTCACTGAGCTAGATGGTTCAATTGTGGTGCTTTCGTTATCTTTCAGGACAAGAGGAGAATTCGAAAACATATTTTGACGTCTTAGTCAAGCTAGCGGACACTGATGTATTATCAAATATCTTGTTACTTATACCTATTAGTTATTTGTTTTGATGACCCTTAGCCCCTTAATTTCATCACCACCCCCGGCTGTACCTAAATCCGATTAACTAAAATAACCATTTGAGTGGTTAAACATTTTTGATGTAAAAAACTATATATTAGTGTAGAGCGGATGATGAGAAACTAATTAAAAAGGATGGATTGCATGGTTGGAGGCACTTTGCAGGAGGCCTCGGACCAAGCTTTCGTGCTAGCTGGAACTCACCAGTCAGCATGCCGTATCTGCAACCTTGAAGAAACTCATGTCCCTTCTAAGATTCGAACTCGCGTCAATCAGTGATGCGGTTAGAGACGTTACCACTGAGCTATTCGTCCTTGCGATTGACCCCGAATCCCAGATTATAATCAAATAATGATTTACTTTATTCCAAAAACAGTACTTGTGATACAGAATGGAATTTTCAGCATTAATCACAATATTGCATCTAATTTCCTCAAATTATAAATAAAATTAATCACACAGAAAATTTTCCACATTTACAATAGGGGTAATGTCAAAAACATGCAGCATATAAAATGGAAATAATAATAATGATAACAGCTAAGGTAATAATAATAATAATACAAGTGAAAATTGCCGTGGGCTTGTTTCACACAGTATTGTCGATGCGGTATAGAAATCCTAGCATGTTTAAAAATATTGAATATAATGTTCTCTTTACATGATATGGTGAGGGGAAAAACAAAGATTACAGCAGTCATAGAGATAAGTTGGTGTTTGCAATTATGAAAGTAAAACAAAGAAGCAACAGGACCATAAATATAATAGAAATAATAAAAGTAAAACTTGAAGGTATATAAGGATGGATGGAGGAGATTGTTTATTTACTAGATGAAAAAAGGTTAGTTAATTCTTGCCTGACACTATTTTCATCACATAAAATACGTGCCAAGTATGGTATCATAGAATTTTTATACTTAGACGTGCGAGCATACAGTTTTCTGAAGTTACTTCTTGTTCTACCTGAGGAGATGCAAGGTGAAAGCTGAGGGTGAAGTGGATGCTCCAAGTCAGACAAAATCCCTTTAGCAAATTTATTGCACGAAGTCAAGTGCCTATCGACAACGACGTTAACTATGTGGTCCACTGGGACACCACTCATCCTACTGACAGTCTTCAGCATTCTACGAATTGTGACATAGTCCTTTTTAAGCAAACCAGGAAAGAATAAGGGTGAACAATAAAGAAGAATAGGTAGGATGCAAGAGTTTATGAACTGTAAGAGGAGGGGTTGAGTTATACCCGAGTGCCTTAACTTCTTAATGTAAAATGTCAGGCGGAATATTTTACTGGAGATCGCTAAGACATGGGAAGACCAGGAGAGATCAGAAGAGAGAATAAGTCCAAGATACTTAATTTCTGATTTAATTCCTATATCATTGTCGTCAATCTTACAACTGTCATGAGAATCGACGGCTTCTTTTAACTGTCTTTTACATCTTAAGCTGAAATTAACAGTTTGACATTTAGAAGGATTCAGTTTAAGACCGTTAGACTCAGACCATTTACTGACTCCCGACAGAAAGCTATTTATTTTGGTACAATCTAGCTGGGAGTTAACAGCCATTGAAACTGTTAAATCATCAGCGTACTTCACAAAGTTTATTTCATCAGAGTGAGGCAAGTCATGTAAGAAGAAAGAAAAAAGAAAAGGAGAAAGGACAGCGCCTTGAGGGACACCAGCTTCAGTAGGCAATGAAGTGGAAGACTTCCCTTTATACACGGTGTACTGCTTTCTTTCTGAGAAATAGGAATGTAACCAGTTAACAGCCCAACATTCTGTTTGACTTGCAGCAAGTTTATTTAATAAGATGTCCCTAGGGACCGAGTCAAAAGCAGATGTATAGTCTAGGAAGGCACAACGAACAAATTTAGCCCCCTTGTCTAGACTGGAAGCAATGTTATGATATAAGACGGCAGCTGCATCTAAAGTGCTTCTACTGTGCTTATAGGCAAATTGTTTAGGGTCATTAAAGGATTTAAGCGAAGGTACAAGACTAAGTAAAAGTAATTTCTCCATAGTTTTCAAAAAAGGAGAGGTAATAGCAATGGGTCTAAATTTGACACATGCTCCAGTAGATGATTTAGGTATAGGTACAACTTTAATGTCCTTCCAAACGGCAGGCACAATATTACTGGAAAAAGATTTGTTAAATAGATCAGTGAGAGGGTGACACAGAATATCAGAACATTAAAAAAAAATAATACTAGGTACATAATCTGGACCTAAGCTCTGGGAAGGGTTCAGAGACTTGAGGCACTTTTGAACATCATTTGTGTTAAAACCTGGAAAGGGGCTATTATTAACACTAGTGATGCTGGGAAGCATGGCATTTGAGGGAGAATAAATAAAAGATTTATTAAGAGTACATACATCAAAAGAATACGGAATATTGTTTATCTGCTTACCACCAGTGATTTCCTTAAATAGTTTCCACATATTAGAAGCATTTTTGCAGGATATGAATTTCTGGTTATATATTACATTCAACCTCTGCATTTCAGACTTGATTAAGAAGTTAGTTCTTTTTACACCACTTTTGTTTTTCATTTTATATAGCTTTTCCTTCTCTCTACGAAGCTTTTTAAGTTGAGGGGAGGAGAAACGGTCAAATTTGACGAATAGTGTTTCTTTTGGGCAGCAGATTTCAAAACAGAATTTCAGATAAGATGTAATATTAGAGATAGTGTCATCAAGTGAAACATCATTAAACAGATCCCATCTTGTGTCACGGAGCATGTTTCTAAGATGTTGTACGTTCTCATTTGAGTAACATCTGTGAACAACTTTCTTGGACAAGTTAGAGAAGGCTTTTTTGTGTAACTTTCCGTAAACTTTGGGTAGAACTCGTACAATACAGTGATCAGAGTTTGAGAGCGGAGCTCTTTTACGAGCTTCGTATATTCCAGAATCATTTATAAATACTAAATCAAGTGAAGTATCTTGTCGAGTTGGGAAGTTAACCACATTTTCATGACCTAGCAATGTAATAAAACTGTAGTCACAAGAATTGAAGTCACCAGTCACTACAGACAAGGAGTTACCAAACGAAGCAGCAGCAAAAATAGTGAATTCGTCAGCAAAGATCGATAGTTCTGAGGGACTGCAACAAGGTGTGACATAGATATTTGTGACAAAAATGAAGTTATACTTAGATAAGTGTTTAGGTCGGCATTTAACAGTTATACAATCAATATTGTCATTTGGGAATTTGAAGCAGACGTTGTTGGCAACACCTCCACCTCTCTTCTTCTTTGAGCTGCATCGGTCTTGTCTGTACATTGTGAAACCGCTTAAGGAGACTAAATCATCGTCATATGAATCGTGGAGCCAAGTTTCTTGAAGAGTAATTACACCAGTATTACAATATACATTTGAGTATAATAGAGAATGCAAGTAATTAATCTTGTTTGGTAGAGATCTGCAATTTGTGCTCATAATCACAGGAACAGTCATCAAATGCATTGGAGTACGCTTTAAAGCTCGTTGCCATCCACCATGAAGCTTTTTCTTAAGTTTATTAGAAACTAGTAAATCAGCCGGTTGGAAACGTTTTAAATAACTGCGAGAGTAAACAATACGAGTAGGACACATAATTAAAAGATTAAAATAAAATAAATCCGAGGAAATAGATGCAATATGTAGGATGGAAATTTTGGTAGCCCAAGATTTAAGCAGGCCACCGATAATCAGGGAATCGACAATTTCCTAATTGGTGGCCTGCTTAAATCTTGGGCTACCAAAATTTCCATCCTACATATTGCATCTATTTCCTCGGATTTATTTTATTTTAATCTTTTAATTATGTGTCCTACTCGTATTGTTTACTCTCGCAGTTATTTAAAACGTTTCCAACCGGCTGATTTACTAGTTTCTAATAAACTTAAGAAAAAGCTTCATGGTGGATGGCAACGAGCTTTAAAGCGTACTCCAATGCATTTGATGACTGTTCCTGTGATTATGAGCACAAATTGCAGATCTCTACCGAACAAGATTAATTACTTGCATTCTCTATTATACTCAAATGTATATTGTAATACTGGTGTAATTACTCTTCAAGAAACTTGGCTCCACGATTCATATGACGATGATTTAGTCTCCTTAAGCGGTTTCACAATGTACAGACAAGACCGATGCAGCTCAAAGAAGAAGAGAGGTGGAGGTGTTGCCACTTTTATTAATTCTCAGTGGTCTACTGCCAACAACGTCTGCTTCAAATTCTCAAATGACAATATTGATTGTATAACTGTTAAATGCCGACCTAAACACTTATCTAAGTATAACTTCATTTTTGTCACAAATATCTATGTCACACCTTGTTGCAGTCCCTCAGAACTATCGATCTTTGCTGACGAATTCACTATTTTTGCTGCTGCTTCGTTTGGTAACTCCTTGTCTGTAGTGACTGGTGACTTCAATTCTTGTGACTACAGTTTTATTACATTGCTGGGTCATGAAAATGTGGTTAACTTCCCAACTCGACAAGATACTTCACTTGATTTAGTATTTATAAATGATTCTGGAATATACGAAGCTCGTAAAAGAGCTCCGCTCTCAAACTCTGATCACTGTATTGTACGAGTTCTACCCAAAGTTTACGGAAAGTTACACAAAAAGCCTTCTCTAACTTGTCCAAGAAAGTTGTTCACAGATGTTACTCAAATGAGAACGTACAACATCTTAGAAACATGCTCCGTGACACAAGATGGGATCTGTTTAATGATGTTTCACTTGATGACACTATCTCTAATATTACATCTTATCTGAAATTCTGTTTTGAAATCTGCTGCCCAAAAGAAACACTATTCGTCAAATTTGACCGTTTCTCCTCCCCTCAACTTAAAAAGCTTCGTAGAGAGAAGGAAAAGCTATATAAAATGAAAAACAAAAGTGGTGTAAAAAGAACTAACTTCTTAATCGAGTCTGAAATGCAGAGGTTGAATGTAATATATAACCAGAAATTCATATCCTGCAAAAATGCTTCTAATATGTGGAAACTATTTAAGGAAATCACTGGTGGTAAGCAGATAAACAATATTCCGTATTCTTTTGATGTATGTACTCTTAATAAATCTTTTATTTATTCTCCCTCAAATGACATGCTTCCCAGCATCACTAGTGTTAATAATAGCCCCTTTCCAGGTTTTTAACACAAATAATGTTCAAAAGTGCCTCAAGCCTCTGAACCCTTCCCAGAGCTTAGGTCCAGATTATGTACCTAGTATTATTTTTTTTTAATGTTCTGATATTCTGTGTCACCCTCTCACTAATCTATTTAACAAATCTTTTTCCAGTAATATTGTGCCTGCCGTTTGGAAGGACATTAAAGTTGTACCTATACCTAAATCATCTACTGGAGCATGTGTCAAATTTAGACCCATTGCTATTACCTCTCCTTTTTTGAAAACTATGGAGAAACTACTTTTACTTAGTCTTGTACCCTCGCTTAAATCCTTTAATGACCCAAAACAATTTGCCTATAAGCACAGTAGAAGCACTTTAGATGCAGCTGCCGTCTTATATCATAACATTGCTTCCAGTCTAGACAAGGGGGCTAAATTTGTTCGTTGTGCCTTCCTAGACTATACATCTGCTTTTGACTCGGTCCCTAGGGACATCTTATTAAATAAACTTGCTGCAAGTCAAACAGAATGTTGGGCTATTAACTGGTTACATTCCTATTTCTCAGAAAGAAAGCAGTACACCGTGTATAAAGGGAAGTCTTCCACTTCATTGCCTACTGAAGCTGGTGTCCCTCAAGGTGCTGTCCTTTCTCCTTTTCTTTTTTCTTTCTTCTTACATGACTTGCCTCACTCTGATGAAATAAACTTTGTGAAGTACGCTGATGATTTAACAGTTTCAATGGCTGTTAACTCCCAGCTGGATTATACCAAAATAAATAGCTTTCTGTCGGGAGTCAGTAAATGGTCTGAGTCTAACGGTCTTAAACTGAATCCTTCTAAATGTCAAACTGTTAATTTCAGCTTAAGATGTAAAAGACAGTTAAAAGAAGCCGTCGATTCTCATGACAGTTGTAAGATTGACGACAATGATATAGGAATTAAATCAGAAATTAAGTATCTTGGACTTATTTTCTCTTCTGATCTCTCCTGGTCTTCCCATGTCTTAGCGATCTCCAGTAAAATATTCCGCCTGACATTTTACATTAAGAAGTTAAGGCACTCGGGTATAACTCAACCCCTCCTCTTACAGTTCATAAACTCTTGCATCCTACCTATTCTTCTTTATTGTTCACCCTTATTCTTTCCTGGTTTGCTTAAAAAGGACTATGTCACAATTCGTAGAATGCTGAAGACTGTCAGTAGGGTGAGTGGTGTCCCAGTGGACCACATAGTTAACGTCGTTGTCGATAGGCACTTGACTTCGTGCAATAAATTTGCTAAAGGGATTTTGTCTGACTTGGAGCATCCACTTTACCCTCAGCTTTCACCTTGCATCTCCTCAGGTAGAACAAGAAGTAACTTCAGAAAACTGTATGCTCGCACGTCTAAGTATAAAAATTCTATGATACTATACTTGACGCGTATTTTATGTGATGAAAATAGTGTCAGACAAGAATTGACTAACCTTTTTTCATCTAGTAAATAAACAATCTCCTCCATCCATCCTTATATACCTTCAAGTTTTACTTTTATTATTTCTATTATATTTATGGTCCTGTTGCTTCTTTGTTTTACTTTCATAATTGCAAACACCAACTTATCTCTATGACTGCTGTAATCTTTGTTTTTCCCCTCACCATATCATGTAAAGAGAACATTATATTCAATATTTTTAAACATGCTAGGATTTCTATACCGCATCGACAATACTGTGTGAAACAAGCCCACGGCAATTTTCACTTGTATTATTATTATTACCTTAGCTGTTATCACTATTATTATTTCCATTTTATATGCTGCATGTTTTTGACATTACCCCTATTGTAAATGTGGAAAATTTTCTGTGTGATTAATTTTTATTTATAATTTGAGGAAATTAGATGCAATATTGTGATTAATGCTGAAAATTCCATTCTGTATCACAAGTACTGTTTTTGGAATAAAGTAAATTATTATTATTATTATTATTATTATATTTCTTCGCTGAATCTGTTGTTTTTTTCTAAATGCGTCACTAGGAATTTGGAAAATATATAATTATACGAGTAACGAACAGAAAAGTACAAAAAATCAGTGGTATGTTACCATCATAATAAAAGTTTTTTTTGTGTTTACTGGTATTGGAATCCCAGTGGGTGCCTACTTCCGATGAATCCAAAACTAGGATGAAACAGCTGTCCAGTATCCCCTGGTTTTCAATGTTTCTCTAACTGATATCAATCCGTGATCAACTCGTATTTCAATATTGTCAAAATCGATTTTGTTACTTAATTCTATAGTGTATAGACCTTTGGCTAGTAAACTTTTAAGCCTTTCTAGCTCAACTGGATTTCTCCTTGGTTGAACAGATATTCTAGGGTGTTCATTTCTTCTTACCTCAGAAATCACTGCAAGACTACTATTCAAACCTTTCAGAAAAAAGATGTCGCCTACACACACCAACAAAATTATTTCAATCTATATTGTCAACCAAAAGTCGTAACAACAAAAGAAGTGAAAATCAATATCATCTACCAAATAATAAATTGCATGAACTGTAATAGGCATTATAGTGGGCAAAGTGGGCATCCCCTTCGACTCTGAGACTCTAAGAATTTAGACTAGAGCTCTCAAAAAATAGACTGCATGTATGCTTTCATATCGATGCATGGAGATACCTATGGATATCTATTTAATTGGGAAAATGTAGGCATTTTAAACAATGGAAACACTTAAAATGCCAGGGAATTCCTAGAAGTTTGATACTTAGGTGAACTAGCAAATAACAGACACATTACTTTCCATAAACCGAATTTATCAACCAGTAAACAATATCAAGTTTTGGTATGCACGGATTTGATTGACCACAGGTTTGACCATGAGTTGATATCAGTTAGATAAACATTAGAAAACCTGAGAGTATTGGATATCTTTTCCATCCTCCACTCAACATTACGCATCCACCACTGTTCGACCCCAACATGTTTCGGTTACAAGACGAGCTCGTTGACTGTTCAGCCACTGAGAATTGACTCAATGAACAGTCCATGAATTCTAACCTCTGCAAATTCGCGATATATTATATAGCACAACTGTCAGCCAATGTCATGGGCGAGTAACTGTTCTCCTGCTTGACTTGGTGGACCCCGCTAGGTACAACTTCTCACTAGAACTCCAGGTAACCTCCTGCATACAGCCAGCCACTAATGAGCATCAGATTAATTATCATGTGTTGGTTTGTAGGGCTCTGACTGGTTACAGTTTTGAGGTCCAAGGCTCGAACCCCAGAGAGTGGGTACCACTGAAGAGTCCCGAATTAGGACGAAACGATGGTACAGTACTCCCCAGTTTTTTAATGGTTCTCTAACTGATGTCGACTCGTGATCAAACTTTTATTAAGGAATAAACGACATGACAAAAAAAATCAAATTTCAGGTAAATAAAAACCATCAATACTCATTTAATTGAATTTTAGATTTTCCCGTCCATTGATTGGCCCGAAGTGCTCGGTCTCAGGTTGACATGTCGGTTTCTTGTTCAGATGCTTCGACGATGTCTGGGCATGTAATTAGAATTTAATTGGTGGATGGTGACTAGCGAAGGAATCCAGGATGCGCATTTCTTCCTATTTGGGACTCATCATCTGGATGTACCCGCATTCCCCAGTGAGTGATGATGTTCCCACCGAGGCTCGAACCTAGTGTCCATAGTTTCAAACGCCAAAGCGTTATCCACTAGACCACCTGGGCCACGAGAGCCACCTCGTGTATAACGGGTCATAGTGATTATTGAATTGAATTTTAGATTTTCCCGTCGATTGATTGGACTGAAGTGCTCGGTCTTAGGGTAACATGTCGGCAAGTACATCCAGATGACGAGTCCCAAACAGGGAGGAATGCGCGTATCCTGGATTCCACTGCTAGTCGCCATCCACCAATGAAACATCAGTACTCATGTTAATTAGCAATCACGACAACGGTTGTCAAGTGATACAATGACACCATTCATCGAGAGAATCCGAATAAGTTGACCCCATATTAAAGCTTGCACTGAAGATATTGTCTAGAATGACAACGAAAGCTTTGCAATTAAGTCATCATCCACTGTACTGTAGACAGTGCAACCACATCAAGATAATTATATATACATATTTAAATATATCTATTATGCATATTGTTGTACAACTCACCAGTAGATCAATCAACCAAGAATTCAAACAACTAAAACCACGAAAACGTCTTCGAAAATCTTTCAAGATACGCGTTAATACTTTCACACTAAAAAGAGAAAATTATTTTCCCATCGGTTATATATATATGTAATAAAATGCCAACTTACGTAGTATGTGAAGCATTTTCTTCAGACCAACGTAAATGTCGAACTGCAGCAAGCGCTGTTTTTTGAGAAGCTAGATTAACTAAAGTAGTAAACAGAAGAGAGAGAAAAACAACAACAAAGAACATTAAGAAAACATTAAGAATATCTAATGCACACAAAAAACAGACGACGACACAAATTCTTTTTCATGAGTCGTCAAGTAAGTGTCGCTTAAGAATCTCAACAGAATATATTACGATGTATTCGACAGTTTCTGTTGACATGACGGCTCATAGTGTGGTGACAGCTGTCTCTGCTAGCCTAAATTGGTAGACAGCAATCGACGTCAATGTTTACTTCCCATATCTTGGTCATGAGTAAAAAGCAAGAACAAAGACTCTGCGTCGGTGGATACGATTAGCAGACATATGGTCTACCCATCAAAGAAACTGCCACTAAGAGATGACAGAATAACTTTGAGCGAGAAAACAACTAATCACAAGACACTATTTCTCTGCTAGTAATAACGAATAATAATGTACATAAAAATCTATAAATATTTGTTGATTTCCTCAATAAACGATCTGTTGCCTGGCCCTTGTCTTCTGTTGTTACACCGGATTGTTGTTTATCCAAAATACTGTCACAAACGATGAATGTATCGTCTACATAACGGTAATAATGTTCAGGTTTGTTTAGCTAGGAAAATGTCCCATTCTTGATACGTCAAATTCACCATTTCATACAACAGCTAAATAAATGACTGGTAAATCTGCTTGAGCATAAAAGATATCTTTACTTTTGTTGACAACATTAAAGACAAAACCATGTTATCGTTGGATGTAACGTTACTATTTACCAATATTCCCCTGGTTGAAACAGCAGATTATATATGCGAACACGTTGTAGAAAGAAAAATAGATATTGGGATCACACTTATGAAATTGAAATTGTTGCTAAAATGTACTATGAATGTTGATTTTGTATTTAACAATGAGTTTTACTGCCAAATAGATGCGGTTGTTATGGGTTCCCCTCTGGATTGTTTATTAGCTGACATTAGCGCTCTGCATACATAACCCATTTTAGCCACCTTGATCGATAGAGCTTACAACTTAAAAGTTCCACTTTACCTCGCAACGTGAATCGACAAGGTAATATGCATGACGTTTTCTACATTAAAAGCAAGACATGCATAACCTGACTACCAATTAAGTAGGCAGAAAATAAGACCTTATTAACTAAAGTTACCAAACTGTAAAAAGAAAGCTTTTCTATCTATACGTGCATCACACAGAAAACCACAGTATGAATTTCGCTAGTTTTCTCTGTAACTCACAAAAACTTGTGGTAGGTAATTCGGATAATCGAAGTACTAAGAGACAATTCCCTTTTACGCTGTATACTAACTCACATTGCTTTTAGTCTGTCAACTTCCAATGCAATGGGTCACAGATTCGAACCTAGCTTCAACTACCTAGGTTTAGGTAGCCAAGGTAGTATCACACACAAGCCCTCATACAATAGGTGTGTGTAACTTATCTCCAACTGCACGGAATTACAAGTGGTTGTAGAGTAACATTAAACAACTAAACAAGTATATACTACTATCGCTTAAAATATGAGTATTACATTTGTTTCTTCCTCTTGCATACAATATTTATCGGCTAGCGAAAGTAGTACTGTGTGCAGTCAAATCTACTGAGTAATAAGCTAGTCTTCGAATGTGAACTTTTAGCCATAATAAATAAATCACTATTCTAGTACCTTTGATGTGAATCTTAGTTTACACAAACAACAACAACCCTATGCATTAACCGTGTCAACCACCTGTAAACTCAATTACTTTAGCATACACTAACTGAGTTCTAACATAGAACCATTACACAAAAGCGAAGCAGTAGAAGTTGCTTCACTTCATATCTTACACAAAAATAAGGAAGTGAAAAAAGATATTCAAAAGAACTATAGTGAGCAGGAATGTGTGTAAAAAAGAATAGTAACATGAAAAAAACACGAGGGTTTAATGAATATGGAAGGTTACACAGTGAGGACGAATTTGAGTCATATCATCATCCATAGTCTCCAATCATTGATCCCAACACCAAGCAGTTTAAACCAACAGTCATGGATTCTTACCAGATTTTGGGTTTGACTACTTCCATCTCTTTTCCAGCCTAATCTTGTGTTTGTCAAGGAAGGCGATGGGTTTGGCATGCACAACAAGTGTACCAACCGCCTTAATCGACTGACTCACCCCACCTAAACTAACACTAAGTTTCACCTCAGTACTACTAACCATGTTATACTATTACTTAACATGGGAGATAGAACGCAAACATCCATGGGGTCAAGGACAGACAACCAATCTTTTCGTATCTTTCACTTCAGCATACATGAAAGTGATATGACGACATGGACAAAAATTATAACAGCAGAAAATGTAACTATAAATAAGTAGGCAGAAGTATAATCATAATTGAGTGGGGGGTGACGGGTTGATTTGCTCAATTCCAACTGGTTCTGTCTTAATCAGTAGAGCTTTCAGACAATAATATTAATGATCTATATACATCAACAACGCAAATGAGGAACCAAGTATAGATTTAACTATAATCAAAATTGCATGTCTACGCCAACTTTCGAATATGTAAAGAGATTTTCGTACTCATAATCGACAAGTTAAGGGTAAACATTATGAGAAACTCTAGTTTACATTAACACTACGTGTCCTTTATGGCTTCAGTTTACCTATCCCCTTAGTTGAATTCCAGTCCAATTTTATTCATTTTTAACTTGTAGAAAAAGGAGTATCTGAAACTTACCATGTATATCAGAATCCACTTTATTTAAATTCATTGGTGTAGTAGTGATTAAAACTTGGACAACATAATCCCCAGAGGTGACAGAGAATCCATAACTCTCTAATTCAACTTTACAATTAATATATTCATTCGACGATTTATTAGTTGTCAGTTGACTACGAACAAAATTGGCCAAATTTTGTACAGCTTCACGTGTTGGCAGTGTTCGAAGTATACAGACTAAATCTGCTATACATGAACCATCCAACCATGTGCCCATTTTGAAAGAGCCAACACGATGAATCTGATCCAATTGCTGAAATAGGAAGACAAAATTTAAAAGTAATATAAGGCAATAATTTCGATACAATGATTACGTCACACTTGAATTGATAACAGTAAGGGAAGCTAAGACATAATACTTTTTGGGGATACTTGTTCAGACAGAGAGAAACTTGATTTTGAGAACTAAATATATTTGATTTGCACTAGACTATCCTATTCTGGTTAATGACGCCATTTGGGCTACCAAAAATCTCAACTATAGTGGAACTATGTTCGAATCCGTCAGTTACCTTCAGGTTAGGTAACTAAACCAAGAACCAACCAACGGTTGAGTGATCTGAATGATCATAAAATAGAGTTCACAACAATTTAAGAGATAATTGGCAGCCAGTAATAGTTGTTCAGTGGTCTGGAGAACTAAGACGTGGATCATTAGCATGACTCGGAATTCAAGTCCTGTCTAGCTAAGTTTGACTTCAGCAACCAGGTAGTACAGTAAGCCTCCCGCTATGTATAAAAAAAGTTCTCGTTAACTCAGTTGCAGTCAATTATTTCGTATTCTGAAGAATAATATTATTGAAATTATTACATTGTCTAACTTTATGAAAGGACGCAACTAACCTCTAACGACTCAATGATTATACAACAACTAAATCAGCCTTAGTTGCCTTCCTGTACAGTGAATAGTGTTGCAGAGCCATGTATTCGTATATGTCTTTCTCGTCAAATTCTCATACCCCAAAAAGTGTACAAAAGCCACAGCCGACGAATACACACAGGCATATCCTTCATAAAATCTTAAGCCTGATAATTCAGTAATATATGTTACACAGAATGGTAGATACGAGACAACTGGATAATTCAGAGGGTAGCTGAGATCATCATCCCCACTTTTACAGTAAACATCTATTAATTCTAATGAGTTTTGCTAAAATACGAAAATATCCATATCAGGTTGCCAACTGAAAACTATGACAAGTGACGTTATACTGTGTGGTAAAAAAAAAGGTATGCAAACGATTTCTTCAGTTCACTCTACCTAATAAAACCCAAACGAACTGAAGTCATATCTATTAATACTAACATAGTAGACTAAGAAAGGAGTAACAGCTACTCATTCAAAGTGATTCACATATGATCAGAAGACTACCAACCAACCAACAAATCAATCAGAATTAGGCGAGCACGTTATGATACAAGCTTGCTTTTTAATGTGAAGATACTAGGTTCATATTATGGGAGTACAGTGCTGAAGAGCCCCGAAATAGGATGAAACACCCGTCCAACACTACCTGATTTTCCAAATGATGCCAGTTCGTAGTGGAATCGAACTGAAAATCAATCAAATCCATACAACCCAACACTGAAAAATTAAGACTGTTTTGTTGAGTTAAATTGCTATCAAAGCTTTTTTTACCATGAAACAATACTTTTTTAAATGACAAATTCAAAATACTGCAAAGGAAAAGCAATTATACCAACATACTGCAGACTCAAACATTGACGGATTGATAATAATATTATCCAGAATGTCACATATTCCATTGTTTAAGTTTGTCAGAGCATGCTGAGAATCAGAAGACGGTGTTAATTGGGCATTGTGGTTCAATAAACATTGCAGTAGAGTTTGGTCATCAGTAGGGACAACCAAATCGGGCTGTAGCACAGCAATATCAACAGGCAACTGTGGAATAAATTGACCTGCATGTGCCCTGAAAAGAAAGGAATGATTTAATCCTCAAACTCTTATCTAGAGGATATTGACTGGAAGACAAATACAGTTATACTGACAAATGTTATAAGGAACAATACAGTTTCTCATCAATTAGTAAATACTTATCGGTCTGTTTATGTTTAAACTATGTAAGTCACACTTTTAAATATAAATGAAAGTTTATTAACCACAAAAGTTAATGCAGGATAAATGTAGTTGTGAGCGGTCGTTCTGTACCGAGATGTCAGTTCAGTGAGCTAATCCATGCGCAGCCGTTAGTCGGACACACCATCAGCCAAGTAATGACCATCGTCAGCCAAGACGATATATATATATATATATATATATATATAGGGAAAGACCATATCTGACCATCCCAATCTGACTACACTTTTAGATCATGGAATATGGCGAATGTGCTGTCAGGGTTTGAAAATTCTGTCCATGATTTGATTGTCTCTGTGTGTAACTGACCTAGTAAACCATTAACCATCGAGAATTCCCGAATCGTGTAACAGTAACTCAACGTATTCAATAATTGCTCAACTGCATTCTGAAGCTTAGACACATCGTGATCATAAGCCGGTTGAACTGTTGCTCATTCGATTCCGTTACACACTCAATTTCCTTGATTATAGTTTCATGGATCAGACTTTTAACAAACATCCGCTTTGAAAAGTAAGAGATGAAGAGCACATCTGCAGGCCAATACGAAACATGCAATGAGTGAAAATGAAAAGCTGTCACTAGTGAGCAGTGATTTCTTGAGTACCATGAATATCATAGTTGATGGAATAATAATTTTAAAGCACAAGCATAGATGAACATAAATTTCTATTTACTAATCCACCTGAGTGACTGACTGGTTTTAACATACAACTTAGCACAGAAGTGCAGCAGTTTGAGTTGCCACACTCCGTGAAGCACAAGGAAGACAAAAGAGAAAGAGCTTCAGAATGGTAATTTAATTTAAATATGAAGAATAATTAATATACAGTACCAAAATCTTGACATACTAAACAAGGCATTTATTGCGTAGAGAAACCGAATGAAGAATGCTGTATTTAAGGTAAGTACTATCCCACCTCTGATATCAGACAGTGAAAATCATATGACAAGACAACTCCCATGTAGACAGAATTATTCCACCAAATTTTTCGTTCCAACTTTTACTTTCAGGGACTTATTGAAGTGAACTTTATTAATTGGGTCTTTAAACAGTTTTCAGCTTCTCATGTGAAATTAACATTGATACAGAAAACAATATCAGTGATACCCTGCCGAATTAATTTCAGATTTCTGATATCCTATTGGCGAAGTTAGACTTTAAGTACCAAAGGAGTGAGACACACCAGTCACTTATAAAAGGCGACTTCTGCATATTAAGTACAAAAAAATAAGAATATTATGGATAAAATGGCACGATGCCATTACAAAGAATGCTTTTCTCTGTTGCGTAACAAAGCTGCTTCTCCGTTTGGGATTGGCATGAAAATAAAGTCATTTTACCATATTCTATACATGTATTCATCAATGTCTCCCGACACCCATTTTAACCCTTATGTTTCCTTAATATAACGCGAAACTGCCCGTAAACTAATCCTAATCTAGCTAGGACTGAACTGAATATCGCACTTATCAGGTAAGCGTAACCCTAAATGGTCAGGTTATAACCTGTCCCGAGCCTATGGAAAGAACTGAACTTAAACTTCCCCAGAACTAACGAGAACTAACCGCATCCCGCCTAGTCTCAAAGCACTATATTTAGCATATTTTATTCGTGATTCTCATGCTACTTCGTTGGTGCCACTAACGTGCTCACTGAGCGCTTCATGGTCACTGGTGACGTCGCACTCCTTTGGTACCCCAGCTATTATTTCCTTCGGGCGCACTGCATAATATTCGGGGTATTGCATAACGTGTAACAGTGATCTGCAGTCTGCCTCAAAGTTATGGTACTTAATGTTTAACTTTGCTCTCAAAAGTTAACTTAGCTGTTATATTACTATTCAACGTGGCAACTTACGGATTATTTCGCCTGAAGAACTGTCTCGCGTGACCGCGTCCCATCATAACGTTGATATTGTATGCGCGCTCACACAATGTTCAGTTCCCAATACTCAATATAACCGTGTGCATCTTCTAATACCCACTCTCTTTCTGAAGAGCCTGTATAAACCTTAAGGGTTCCTAAGGCATGCTACTTGGGGCATACTGGGAACTACCCATCAAATAAATAATCATCTGAAACGTACTTCAGTCCTGTGTCTGTGATGTTGGCACAAGGTATTTCTGATTTCTTCATATCAAATTCCTGAAACGTTCGAGAAATACAAGTTGTGACTTATGGCTGCTTAGATATGTCAATTGATTGCATGTAATTAGAATTTTTCGGTCACTATAGCTGGTTTCGACATGGCATTTCAACTTCTGTGCTAATGAATAATTTAATCCTCTCCAGCGCATCTGCACGCTAAACAGATCAAACAGTTCTCAAATAACTTCAAATTAATTTAAAGGTCTGCTATATAGGCGGCTGGTGTTTGAGTTTTGATTTAAGAAGTATGAATCAAAGGCAGCGTCGGTGGCACAGCGGTTAGGACACTCGCCGACCATGCATATGTTCCGGGGATCGGTTCCCGGCCGACGCACACTTGGTACCGATGGTTGGCCTGGTAAATTCGGGCTACCGACCCCACATGCTGAAAATTCCATACTTGTACCAAAATACTGTGCGAAATCAAGCTATAATGAAATAAAAATAAAAATAAAGAATTTCGCACTTCCATTGTGCTGGTAATGTTGCAAAAGCCGAGTCCCTATTTTAATCATTGCCGGTGGTAAAATGTACTACATTTGGCTAGAATGGGCTTTAATTCTCATTCGTTGCATGTGTTACACCCTATGGTACGCATTAGTCAATCTTCTGTTCCTGTTTTCTGCAACCAGTAATTGCAAATTACACAGGCTACTTGTTGAGTTTATACCAGTGTACAACGGTTTGGGTGCGATTTTCATGTGTTAAGACTTAGAATCATGGCAAGACTCCACGAAGTAATGTATGTTTCTCTATTAAAAACATTCTGTAGTCCTTAGTAAAAAAAATTCAAGGGATTACTTCACATGATTAACCTCTGAAAATGCTGTCTTATATAGGAAATTCGGCCTGAGTACCTGAGTACTCATTGCGGTGAATGGAACGGTAATGGGCTGTCCAGTATCTCTGGATCGATTTTTAAACGCCACATTCTACTTGAGGTGAAATAATAAGCTACATATCCAGAAGATGAGTCGCTTTTGAACAGACATGAATTTAATCTCTTAAAACGTACACAAACATGCTATTTTGTTCTACAGATTTTGGTTGTTTGTAAGAACCTGGGGAATATCGAAGGAATTCAACGTCTGCCCTCTAGTGAAGTAGCATAAAATTAGTATATTTATCATCTAGAGTTATTTATCATCACTATTTTCCATTTGCTTCACGCAAAAGTAAACATTCTATTGTCCACTGTTATACTTAGCCTTCCTCTTTTGTGGAAGTGCACCTTGAAATTCCAGTAGCTGTGGGAGTGATTTTTAGGGGCCCAGGCTACTGGCCCCAAGTCCCTCTAATATGGGCTTAGTAAATGAGGCGAGTTACAAAAAATTGTCAGTTCTTCCGGGTTTCAGATCACAAGAATTACATAGAGTTTACACATATTTCTTATGTGCTCCATTGAACGACTAACTATCAGAGTGTCACTAACTGATATCAGAGAGGACAGCAACCATGTAATTTCACTATAAATCAAATTCATGTAATTTAAATAATACTTATCCATGCCTGTACAACTGGTGTGTCCTACATTGATAGGAAATATATATTATTATTATATTAGCCATGCGATCCCACGAAATTCCCTCATACGATGTCAAAGACTCAACCCTTTCAAATGATAGCCATGATCCATGCATCGGTAGCACATCAGTTAGGACGCTTGCCGACCATGCACATGGTCCGGAGTTCGATCCCCGGCCGACGCACGCCTGATATCAATGGTCGGCCTGCTAAATGTGGGTTACTGATATCACGAGCTGAAAATTCCATACTTGTACCGAAATACTGTGTACAGTCAAGCTATAATCAGAAAGTGAAGATAAGAAATAAAACTTTTAAACTTCTACCACTCCTACGACGGCTATGTACCTCCATGGCCTATAGTTCCTAAGGTAATGTTTCACTCTAAAGAATCATTTAGGAAATCTAACAACCCCAAGTATGCAACATTAGCTCCCTTCGCAGATTCGGCTTGGCAGTCTAAGAAAGTCAGTACATAAATATCTGGTATCTAAATTGTTCTTGGGGCCTGCCAGTGAATTCGGTGAGATCGTTCTTCAGTACATTGTCTTCCGAACAGAGGACATGAAGAAACTGCACATGCGACTCAGACAGGTTTATTTATCGCCCCCCTTATGCTAGTTTAACACAGCTTTTATTCTGGACAGACGGACGTAGCAGAATGAATTATCTGAAAATGATTCTTCGGGATCATATTTGCAATAGTGACGTGTATTCCAGGATTCTCACTAGTTTTCTATTGACTCTTCTCTACTCTTGATACATTTATGACTATGTTGACGTGACTCGTTTTCTTTCTATTCAGTGTTTATTATTTATCTTTTCTTTCCATTAATTCCTATTGCTTCATTTTCCCACTATGCAGTGCTGATCTGCTAACATAAAGTTACTCTTCGTTATTGCATGGTGAAAGTGGAATACATGGTAGACTAATGCTAGTGTAGAGGTATCTTGTACATTGAACATGGTGTTTAGGAATACCGCACATCTGGCTGGATTTATATATCAGGTTCTTTTAAAATTTCGCTCTGAAATTTTTTTGCCAATAATTTTTAATAAAATTGTGTTATGTGTTATCTGGGTTGATGGAAATTCCCACTTTCTGGCTAGTTATGTCGGTGTCTGCGTCATGTGATCTGACTGCGACAGACTCATAGCATATTGGTTGCAACGATTAGTGTTTCAGGCGGACTGTATCAAAATATCGGTATAATGAGGAAGGTAGGATAGTTGCAGGGTAATGTCACTTAAACAAATTGTTTACTCCATGTAGAAGCTGAACCTTTCGGCATAGTATCATTCAAGGAAGACTTCATGTCTCAGGATATCAGTACAGCCTATTTTCGTGTGAAGAACAGTACTTTTTGACAAAAGAATTCTATCAGTACGTGGAAGTCACCTGTAAATGCTAACATCTCCTCACGATGAAATATGTTTTCACCTGTGCATGACTCACGAAATTCTGAAGGACTGTGAAGTAGAATACTATCAATTAACTGAATTGCATTGACTTCCATCTTCCTGTATTTAAACAAAGATACTTGGATCTCGGACGTCGTTGTAATCCTAAATAAGTAATTAGAAGAAGAATCTTACTCATGTATTCTTCCTGTACTTTTCATCAAAATGTTTTGTAAAGGAATAAAAGTGGAGCCAGTGAATCTCGAAATAGTTTGCCACACCCAGTAAATGCGTTTGTCTCTCCTGTTGAATTTCAAGGAAAACTTCACTCACGGTTATTACTATTATTATCTAACACGTCAATAAATTGGTGCTGCACCATCTAGCGCGGTACGTTCGCAACTGGTGACATTTTTGCACGTGTTTTCTCTGATATTCACTTATAGCTTATTGATATATAATCCTTAAAATTATGGTCCAAATTTCTAAAACACGTACTCGTAGAAGCACAATTATTATAGATAGTGGCTCATCATCGGTTATTACTGAATTACCGCCCTGTAATACAGCATCAACTACTAGCTCACAAAATGGCTCCAGTGCAGTTTTCCCCCCAGTGATCGAGGTGAAAGATGTTCTATTAGAAAACTCCGGTCTGTAATTTAGACCGCCTTGTGAAAGATACCCGGAGGCAAGAAAGTGATCTTCAGGAAAAATTAGGTCAATCTGATAGCATGACACTGACTGACAATCCGAAATATCATGGAGAACCGTTCTGATATTGGCCAGATTAAGTCTCTACTGGATGTAACAGAAAACAAGCTTGCTGATTCAGACCCAATAGCCTGTCTGTTAAAAAAACATCCTGAAATGTCTCCGGACAACCTAGATGAAGCTTAAAATCGGATTGACTACTTGGCTGTAGAGGTGATGAAGCGTATAGCCTCTTCTCACCAGGCTATAGTTTACAACATTCCAGACTCAATGCCTCTGAAGACAATAAAGCACAAAATCCTGGGTTGTTGCAGCATGGCTAGTGTGCCAAGTGAGTGCAAAAGATCTCGTGAAAAGTTGACCCAGGCTAATTGTCCCATCATTTTTAAGTTCAGTAATTCTCTTGATGCTAGTAATTTTACTAAATTTCAGGATCACTCAAGACTGAATAGTAGTTATAAGTCTGTAACCATGGCACAGGATAAAACACCGTGTCAGCGCAGAATAACGCGTAGTAATAATCTGGTCACTTCATCTGGCTTAGGTTATGGTGATATTTTAAGCCAGTTTGTAGTATCCCGTGACTTACGTAGTACTCATTAATGCACGTTCCCCAGTCAATAAGATATCTGAACTGAGGACATTAATATTAATCGCTAGGCCTAATGTAGTTCTGATGACTGAATCATTGTGCTCATCCCCTATACTTGATGTACATTATAGATGACTACACTGTACACCGTGCAAATAGAGATTGCAAGCGTGCTGGGGGTTGTGTCATATATACACATAACTCATTCGTAGTCAGTGAGGTGGGAGATGACATACTGAACAAGGTTCATGATACACTGTGGGTCGTCTTACGTGGAGATGAGTACAAACTTCTCATAGGCTGTGTTTATCGAGCACCATGCTCAACAAAAGAAACTGATGCGTTATTAACTAAATAGTTTGCACACGCCTCCTCGTTTAGTATTAACCACAAGATAATTGCAGGTGACTTCAATCTTCCAGACGTCAACTGATTAAGTAGTTCCGGCCGCCAACTCTTCGACGAATTATTTCCCACAATCGATTGTTATGGATGACAACAACACGTCCAGACACCTACTCATGGTGACAATATGTTGGACCTTGTGTTTCGTCATGACACAATCCCAATCTCCACC